CGATAGAGTTTTCCATAAGCAGAAGACTGAGCTGGGGCCCCCCAGTTAAGGCCTGCTCCTGAGCTGCTGGGCCCAGTGGTTCCTGGCCCCAGCTCCCCATAGTTTTGCAATTTGGTCTCTGCATGTACCACAGAGTTGCTGCTTCCCTCAGCCTTCAGGAATGGTTGCCCGACCACTGAGTGTAATGTTAAGGGGACCCTGGTAAAACGGAGGTCCTGGTCCCCTGGAAACTGCACTGACCCTGTTCCCTGGTAACTGGTGGACTCCCCAAGGTGGCTCACAGAGCCTGAGAAGGTCCTGTTCTTCACCAAGGTCTGGACCAAGGATTCTGTCAAGGCTGGACCAGAGTTGCGTTCATCAGTGTCAGTGGCACTGAACCCTGTTTCAGGCCCATCAGTGTTTCCGTAAGTCCTGTTTGAATGGGGTCGGGTGGAGTACTCCACTGGTCTCAAGGCCTGGTGCTCATGTGGCAGGTGGCCAGGAGGCTCTGCTTCAGGCTGGGATAAAAGTTGCAGCAAGGCGGCTGTCACGGCTGGGTTCAACTCCTGGGGGGCGCTGGAAAGATCGCCTTCAACCAGAGGGGGTGGAGGTGGCGGCGGTGGAGGTCCGGGGGGCTCAGGGGGCCTCTTCTCTGGTGGAAGAATGTGAGGAGGACATGCTGTGGAAGGGTTACTTCTTTTAAACACCATCTTAAAAATCACATGTGATTATAAACACAAACACACACACACACTGCCCAACGTAAATAAATATCATACACATAACCAGAAATATAAAGAATAAAATCTTGGGATCAGAAAATTGTCAATTTATATTGAAAAAAAAATCAAGTGATTAGTAAAACAGTTGTATTCTGGATCTAACAGCTGGTATAAAAGATCTAACGTTTCAAATTACTGTACTGAGTTTTGTCTGAGATTTTCTCCATTTCCTTCCTTAAAGAATTGGTCTAATATGTAGGCTATTGGCAGCCTCCTTGCAGCATTTTGGTCTTAGATCAAAACATTAATGAAAATTAATGCAGAAAGAAGGAAGATGAGAGGGAACAATATACATGTTGTGGTCACATTTCTAGGACATAATCTTGTACAAAAGAGACTTTGCTTGAAGGTGGCTAACACATTTTACAGAACATTTGATGATATAAGGTTAACTTGAAATAGAACTTACAGAATATACAGGAGAGATGAAATAAACTAAAAACTTTTCATTACCATCATGTATATAAAAATACACATGCTTTTCCAAACTTTAGTCACCTCTCCCCATGATTATATTCTGAAGAAAGGGCTATTCACCACCACACTGTCATTCAGATTCCTGTTACACTGTAAGACTAAAATAATCTTCTATCATAATGTTTTGTTCATCTGTATTCTTCCCTTTATGAAAAGATCATTACAGATGTGTCATGTAGAATGGGCTGTTGATAAACATCTTTTTTGGGGGAGGGGAACAGTGACAAGAACTGAATATTTTGAAATGTAATGAATACTACACTCTGACTGTCCCAGATTTTCTTTATTCTACTCTTAGTAGAAAATACCTAAGCATGGCAATTATTGTCTGATAATCAATTTCTGCCAATGCAGGAGAGGAGAGATGTAAAATGGGGTTGTTTGAGGACACACGAAACCATGGAGAGAGAATTATGGTCAATATAATGCCTTCAGAGAATTGGGAATAACCCTGCTGAAGAATAAGTTTAATGCTTTGGGATATCTTCCAAATAACTGGTTTATCTTTTCTTTACGTAAGTATACCATTAAATGTCCACTACAGTTCTTCCATTATCTGAGTTAATTCTTCCATTATCTGTGCTAGTAATGTAAAGTTATTACTCAGACAGGTCAAATCAGGTTCTTACTAACAATTAGATACTTTTGTGACATATTTACCTCAATTATATTTTGCAGAGACGATCAGTAAACATTTGCATTCCCTTAGCATCTAGATGAAAGCACTCTGTAAATACTACAAAACTGCAAGGCTATGCAGAAGGATGAGGTCAGGTGCTATTTGCAACACACAAATAGATTGAGCAACAGTCCCATTTTACCCAGGACTAAAGGGGTTCCCAGGTTGTTGACTTTCAGTTTTAAAACCAGGACAGTCCTTTATACAGTATCCACACTGTATATAGTATATTTATTTGTAGATTGGTTGGTTGGTTGACTAGTTGGCAGGGGAAAATGAATTTAAGGACAAAAAAAATTAGTCATGGAAAATTCACAACTTTGGAGAGTTGACATGTTGAAAAAAGGAGGGCTAACTGGATTACAAGCATCTATGGATTTCAGAGTCTTCTGCTGTCAACACTATACGTCTTTTTATATAAAGACATCACAGTACCAGCTATTTTTTTTTTTAAGTATTTTTAGCTATACATTAAGTGGAACATAGGTTTTTTAATAATGAGTGTAAACAGCATTAAAAATGTATAACTGGGACCAGTGGGTGGTGTGGTGGCTAAGGAGGCTGGATTCCACATGGCTCACTGCATGGTTTGAGTACTCAACCTGAAAGCATGAGAAACATACCAGGAATGTGTGCATATGTACTGAAAATCCCAAGAGAAGACTGGAGGAGAAGGGACTGCAGCACTTTCCCCCAAGGGGAGGTGCTTTCTCACTTTCCCTCCCTCCCACTCTGTCCCCTCTCTCTGGAGAATGCACATGCTCCATAACAAATAATTAAAAAAAAAAAAAAAAAAAGTGTAACTGTGGGCCATCCAATGCCACGGTGATTAAGGAAGCTGGATTCCATGTGGCCAATGTATGGTTTGAGTCTCGACCCAGCAGCTTGAAAAACATACTGGGCATGTGTGCGTGAGTGCCCCAAATCCTGAGACAAGAAATGGAAGAGAAGGAATTGTGGCTAGCCACCCCCTCTCAGGGGTGTTTTCTCACCTTCCTTCTCTCTCTGTGTCTGCAGCTAAAACACACGCTCTATAGCAAAACTAAAAAAGAAGAAGGAAGAAAGAAAGGCACAATGGCAAAATGGGCAAATCTAAATTTACATCCTTCTAGCTACACTATTTTTCATATTTAAATTTTGCCTTTTATGTAAATAGCCCAATTGTGTTTTACTAGAACTAATTCTTAGACTCAAATTCTTTCACACATATAAAACAAAAATTCCAAAGTAGCAAAGCAGATGGATTATAAAGAACTACTAAAGTTAATAAAACTTCTTAAAGGAATTAAAATATGAATTATAGATCATGTTGTGTTACAAAATTTAAAGTGTTAATGTTGCCAATCTTTAACAGTCTATACTAATGGAGAGACATACTAAGGAAATATAAAAATAATCTGAAGAGTTCATTTAACTCTAATATTAGATTTCAACCATTTCCTCTTCCCTGTAACAAATAAAGGACAGCTGAACAGTAGCCAAATTGATAAAAGACTGTCACCTTCTCTGGCTTACATGTTCTGCCCTCTGGTGGAAGTGCTAATGAGCAGTGAAACAGCCAAGTAAGAGCCAACAGGGGAGAAACAACAAGGGGGGACACAGCCTTGGAAACACCAACTGGATAATTTGGGGGTGATACAATAATAGTTGTGAAATTTTTACACTTTCCTCTGAAATGCAAATCTAAAATTTCTGGCCACAGGTTAGGCCGTACTTTTAGTTCAATTTCAATGTTTGGCAGATAATTTATAGGCTCAACTATTGGGTGGATTTTTTTCAAATACTATACTATTTAATTTGAACAATTTCTTTCAGGTACCTTGATGAGAGTGATTTTTTTGAGGGAAGGGTCAGAGTACGGAAGATGAGACAAAGAGACCTGCATTAATTCCACATTAGCTTTTTCTGTTATTCTATGTCCTGGAGTCTTTTAAAAACAATTGGAATCATGACAGAGTAGTAAAATGAATTAAGAAATATGAATACAAGAGTTTTAGTTCCTGCTTTTGACAAAAACCAGCAGTGGAGACCACAGGCAAATTTATTTAAACTGTTGAGACTATAGTTTTCCTGTATGTAAAGTAAGGATTAATTTTCTTTCAGTTTTAAAAACTTTAGATTGAACAATACCTTATGTACTTGATCCTATACCAGTGAGAATAAAGTTTGTACTTTCTGCACCATCCTATATGAAATGTGAATGCAGGACCCTAAAGTTGAAGGTTAGTATACCTCTTCAGCCCTTGTGCTTCTTCTTATTTCCCAATTCATAGGGTCTTCATGGACAGTGAAAATTTCCAAGCAGTTGAAAACACTTTCAGATAGGTAAAGATTTTGTAAAAAGACTGTGAATCAGAATTGATTAAGAGAATTTAAACTTCTTTTCCCTCTAATAAATTGCATGCTATGGTCACATAAGATCAAGGTAAAACATGTTCCCTTCATGTTTTCTTTATATAATGCTCACTTCCTGATCTGGGGTCCATTCAATGATCTCTTTCAGGAACACAGATTTAAAGGACTCACTCTTATATGCTACATTTTTTTTTGGAAAGGAAATGTATGGTGTTAATTACATGCTTAGAAATATTCCCAAATTATTCTTCAAGAAACTAACGATGATATTTTATTAGGGTTTTCTTGAGTGTATCTTCCAGGTAAGACTCTGGTATCCAGCATCCACTCCACTAGAGGTAAAGAAGTACATTTTGATCATGGTTTGTTTGGAATTCAGATTAAGTGCTAGGATTGGCTGGCCACCATACATACACAGTGGTTTAAGATGCATCACTAGCTATGGTTGTGGTTTCCTTGGTTAGAGCATAGGGAGAGTTTTACTTACCTATCTCTGAGGAAGTGGAAAAAACAATCAGTATATAAAAGGTGTTTTGAGAAACTCTGAGACTTAAATAAAAGAAGCTGGTCAAGAAATACATCACTTGGTGCTATGGTTCTCCTGTAGACTAGGTTATATAAAAACTGAAACCAAGGCCACTGATGTGAAAAAAGAAAATGTTAAAAAAAGATCTTTAAGAGGATCAACAGCACCTGAGCTCAATGAGATTCATGACCGGTCTGTTTACCTGCTGCCTCCTCCTGTGGCATTGTGGGAGTTCTTCGGGGCCCCTGTGGCCCATTGTTCTTGTCACTGTTGTTTTCCTCTAGGTTGCCTGCTGGCTCCTGGGTTTTCATCAGCTGACTCAAGAGAACTGCCAACATATTCTGCATGTCAGCTGGAGTGCTTGAAGCTTCAGGGGTTGTCTGTTCTGCTGAAGGCAGGACCACTGGGGCAGGAGGTGCCTCCTTCAAAGACTCCTCTGGGGCTATGGGCTCTGAGTCCTGCTGCTGGGAAGTGGCTTCTGTCAGGGCACTGATAGACTGGTTCAGGGCTTCCAGCTGCTGCTGCATCTCTGGGTTGGAGTGGATGTTAAGCAGCTGTGCCATTTGAGGGATGCTCAGGTCGGTTTGGCTCTGCAGCAGGTTCAATAACACTGCCAATTCACTTTGATTCAGCTGTTGTGTGATGTCACCAAGGCCTGTGGGGAGAAAGTGGAGCCAATGTAAGATGACAAGGCAGGGCAAAGGCCCATTGCCTTCAACTAGAAACAGCAACTTGTAATACCCCAAAAAGGGAGTTTCATTTTCAAAGTCTCATTTTCCATATCTCAAATTGTCATGACACAGTACTTTCACTTAAAAATATAGGGACAGCAGGACCAGCAGTCAGCGTAATGGCTATGTCGCTGGACTCCCACATAGTTGACCGTGGTTCGCATCCCGGACCCGGTGGCTTAAAACTCACGCTGGGTGTGTGTGCGTGCATGCGTACCCAAGATCCCGAGAGGAGAATGGAGGAGAAGGGATTGCGGCGTGGCCATCCCCCCTGGGGGGTGATTTCTTGCTTTCTGTCTGTCTCTGTCTGTCTGGTGAGCACACGCACACTATAGCAAAAACCTCTCAAAAGAAAAAAAATGGGGGGACCGGGTGGGGGCGGCCAGCAGGTGGCATGGTGGCTAAGGCACTGGACTCCTATATGGCCGATCACAGTTTGAGTCCCAAATCTGGTGGTTTGCTTTTTTGCTCTCTCTCTCTCCCCGCTCCTCTTTCACTGGTGAAGGCATACACCCTATAGCAAGTTGATTAATTAAAAAAAAAATACACACACACGCACACATACATATATATGGAATGGGGGGAGCAGATAGCATAGTGGTTACAATACTGGACTCCCACATGGCCAATCATGGTTTAAATCCTGATCCAGAGGCTTGAAACTCAAGCCAGCTGCATGAGGGTGCATGCCCAAAAACCTAAGAAGAGAATGGAAGAGGGTCTGCAACATGGCCATCCCTCTGGGGGTGATTTCTCACTTTCCTTCTCACTCTCTCTGGGGAGTACACACACCCTAGGGCAAAAGCCTTAAAAATAAAATAAAATAAAATAAAAAATAAAGAGACTAACTGAAACACACTGTATTGAATGTAAAAGTGATTTCATTTTATATGTATTCTTCAAGTTTAGTGATGTTCAACACTCACTGTGTATCAGAATTACTAGGAGAGAGATTTTAAAATTCAGTTGCCTCAGTCACCCCCATCTCTAGAAATCTGGAAATTGTTGGAAGTATTTATTTTTCTTTATTCATAATTGGGTATGTGCACATGCACATGAGGGTGAGAGAAAAAGAGTAGGAGACAGAGAGAGAGGAACTCTCCACAGGGCCTGGTCTGGTAACTCGGATTTCTTTTCTAGTTCTCCAGCCCATTGGATCTTATACCCAAGTGTGTTACGGGTGGACTAGCTGAAAATTTGAACCATCGTTGCTATATGGGACCCAGCTTCTCCCGAGCAGCACATTACTGCTAAATCATGACGTGAACCGCATTTGGGAGTATTTTATTTATTTAGCACTATTTTTTTTTTTTTTTAAGGTTTTTGCCATAAGACATATGTACTAGCCAGAGAAAGACAGAGAGAGAGAAAGTGAGAAATCACCCACTGAGGGGATGGTCACAACATAATTCCTTCTCCATTCTCCTCCTAAGATTTTGGGCATGCATGCACATGTGTCCAGCATGATTTTCAAGCTGCCAGGTCCAGGACTGGAAGCTTGGTTGGCAATGTGGGAGTTCAGTGCCTTAACCACCATGCCACTTCTGGCCCTGGGAGTTTTTATTTTTAAAGCTTCCTGGATGACTCTAATGTGTACCCTGCGTTGAGAACCACTGTTGCAGGTGGATAGGGAAGCAAAAGTGAACCAGAAAAAAAAGAGTGTTTTGGTTCAGAAATCTGGGTGGTATCACACAACAATCTTTTAGTTATAATAGTTCATTATGGTTGCTATAATAGTTCATTATGACATCGTTTAAAACATATTTAGACTGGGGATAGGAGGTAGCGCATTTGGAACCACATGGGAAAGGTCCTGGATTCAAGACCTGGGAACTCCCTGGCTATGACAACTGAAACTGGGGGTAAAAGTGGTAGAAAGGCCCTGTTGGGAGTACGTGTCTCTCTTTCTCATGAAATATACAAACAACAAAAATTTTAAATAGATAGATAAATTTAGATCAAATAACTGCAGAACTTACTACATTTAGCAACTGAGATTTAATGTGACTGGCTCCTAAGACAGTCTTATCAAATCTAACATGAACAAGGTTCCAAATTAATATGTCAGAAAGTCATGGGTTGGGGCCAGCAGGTGGCGTGGTGGTTAAAAGGTGTTGGATTCCCACATGGCCGAACACAGTTTGAGTACCAGTCCTGATGGCTTGCTTTCTCATTTTCTCTCTTTCTCACTCTCATTCTGATTCTTGCTATGTCCCTCTCTAGTCAAATTACAATAAATAAATAAAGTGGGAACCAGCAGTCAGCATAATGGCTATGTCGCTGGACTCCCACGTAGTCGACCGTGGTTCACGTCCCGGACCTGGTGGCTTAAAACTCACGCTGGGCGCGTGTGTGCGCGTGCCCAAGATCTCCAGAGGAGAATGGAGGAGAAGGGATTGTGGCGTGATCATCCCCCCTGGGGGGTGATTTCTCGCTTTCTGGCTCTATGTCTCTCTGTCTGTCTGGCGAGCTCACGCGCCCTATAGTGAAAAACCTCTCTAAATAAATAAATAAATAAATAAAGTTAAATAAAGTAATTCCTAAAAAAAAAAAAAAAAAAAGTATTGGATTCCCATTTGGCTGACTATGATTCAAGTCCTAGACCTGGCAGCTTACTTTCTCACTCCCTTTCTTTCTCTCTTTCTGTGGTCAAATTTGATAATTAATAAATAAATAAAATTAATAATTCTTAAAAAAAAAAAAAGAGCAAACCATGGGTCAGCTAATCTTAATCTGGCTTATCTAATTCACTGATTTATGTCACATATCTTTTTTTTTTTGAGAGGTTTTTGCTATAGGGTGTATGCGCTCGCCAGACAGACAGAGGAGACAGACAGAAAGCGAGAAATCACCCCCCAGGGGGAATGGCCACACGGCAATCCCTTCTTCTCCATTCTCCTCTCAGGATCTTGGGCACGCACGCATACGAACCCGGCGTGAGTTTAAGCCATCGGGTCAGGGACTCGAACCACGTTCGACTACGTGGGAGTCCAGCGACATAGCCATTACGCTAACTGCTGGTCCCATATGTCACATATCTCACTGAGATACAGTGTTCCTTGTTCTAGGGAAGGAAAATGATCTCTTGTACACTTTATGGACCATATGTACCAAACATGTTTTCTATCACCTCCCCAGATGAGGATTTATCTTTTTCCTAATATTTCATTGGACAAAAACTGGCCCCACAGCACAATGGATAAGTAATGAACAAAAGAAGCTGGATCCCGCATAGCTAATCAGGTGCCCTGGTACTTTGAAAAGCATAATGGCTGTGTATACATGCTAAGGATCCCAATGGAATGGAGAATAGAGGAAAAAGGACTGCAGCATGCCCAGCTCTGCTGGGGAGGGGGTGCTTCCTCTCTCTCATGTGCCTGTGTCCTCTAGAATTTTAAAAAACAGTAATGAAAGACAGATGCACATACATTCCTTACATTTGACCTTCACAATATTCCAAAACTTGCTTAATAAAAGCACAAAGTCCTCATTTCAGCACTGACCTATTGCATCCCCAGCCCCAGGCTCCACTTTGGTAGGAGCAGGCTGAGGTGGTGCTGGGCTGCTGTTCTTCACAGGCTCAGCACTTGTCCCTGAGGTAGTTTCTTTGCGAGGAGCCTTGGGTGGAGGTGGCTCTTCTACCACAACACCACTTTGTCGCTGGCGTCTCCGTTTCTTACTCCACAACTCATGGCAATCTTGCCAGTGGGGTAGGCTGGAAAAAGACAAAGTAAATGGGGGATGTGTATGGGAATATGGCAGTCAGTGAAAGGAAAGACAAGGGAGTAAGATGGGAAGACAAAGAGTATGGAAAATGGCAAGAATAAGTAAAACATAAAAAAAAAAAAAAAAAAAAACAGAAAAAATTAGTAAGTAGATAGTAGGCATATGTGAAATCATGATAGATGGTAGTCTGAGGAAATGAAGTCTAAAAGTCCAAGAGATTTATACAAAGAGAAGTGAAGATTTGCTAATACTAAAAACACACCTGCTAATAAATTTCCATATTCTAGTCAAAGACATATTATCCTCAGCATAAGAACAGAGAATTTTATTTTGTTTATTTTATAATTTTGCTATATGGTGCATGTAGTCACCAGAAAGAAAGAGAGAGGGAAAGCGAGAAAACACCTCTTATGGATATGGCCACCCTGCAATCCCATTGCCTCGATTTTCCTCTCAGGATCCTGGACATGTGCCCGGCACATTTTTCAAGCTACTGGATCCAGGATATGAGCCACACAGTGAGCCATATGGAATCTAGCTGCTTCAACCACCATACCACTGGCTGGCCTGAGAAAAAAACTTAGTCAAGATTTAGCTGGGAATAAACAGGAGGCCAAAGATGACTGACTTGTTAATATCTACCAAGAGTCTGGGTCAGCCTGTGGCCTGGTGATTAAGTGAGCTGACCACCTAGTTGATCACACAGTTTGAGTCCAGGACTTAGTGTACTGAGAAGAACATTGTGCACGTGTGCAATGCATGTCCAAAATCCAATGAGAAGAATGGAGAAGAAGGGAATGTGGCATGGCTATCCTCCCTGAGGGGTGTCTTCTCACTTTCCTTCCTTGTCCAGCAAGGACATGTACCCTCTGGCAAATTTTTTTAAAAAAGAAAGAAATGGATATAATATTAACACATGAGTTGGTAGTTAAGTACAAATCTGATTGCTCCAAAGGAAATGTCCAAATTCATTTACTACAAACAATGAATGTGGCTTGAAATACAAAAGCTTTTTACTAAGACTGAGAAACTTCTATGATAGATATTTCAATAAGACTTGACTTACTTGGACTGTTTGCATTACTGAACACAAGTAAGCCTGGAAATATATTAAATAATACATAATGCTGTAGGGCCAGTAGGTGGCATGATAGTTAAGATACTGGATTCCCACAAGGCTGTCCATGGTTCAAGTCCTAGACCTGGTGGCTTGCTTTCTTGCTTTTCTTTTCTTTATCTCTCTGGTCAAACTAATGAATAATAACAATAAATGTAATTAAATAAATAAATAGTTCTAAAAGAAATATATACATACATAATGCTGAGCTCTACAGATAAAAAAGTTGCTATTCAGTTATAGAAATTCAGTGCAAAGGGGACCAGCAGTTGGCGTAATGGCTGTCGCTGGACTCCCATGTAGTTGACCGCGGTTGGAGTCCCAGACCCGGTAGCTTAAACTCATGCCAGGCACATGTGCATGTGTGCCCAAGATCCTGAGAGGAGAAATGGAGGAGAAGGGATTGCAATGTGGCCATGCCCCCTGGGGGTTGATTTCTTGCTTTCTGTCTGTCTGTCTCTCTCTGTCTTTCTGGCGAGCATCATACATGCCCTATAGCAAAAACCTTCCCCCCCCCCAAAAAAAAAAAACTCAGTGCAAAGAAAGGGAAGAACCAGTCTCTGGTCCTCACAGACCAAGTTACACAAACTGACTTTGCACACTGGTGATATAATCATGATGTTACATGTATGAGTCCACCACTTTTCCTAGACTTTTTGTAGATATATTTTTTAAAATTTTGCCAAAGCTGGAATCAACAGATGGTGTAATGGTCACATAGCTGGACTCTCATAGTTGTTCATGGCTTGACTCCCAGACTTGGCGGCTTAAAACTCACACCAGGCACGTGTCCATGCATAACCAAAATCCTAAGAGGAGAACTGAAGAAAAGGGACTGTAGTATGGCCATCCCCCCTGGGGGTTGATTTCTCACTTTCTATCTCTCCAGTGAGCGCACACGCCACTCAACAGCAAACAAAAACAAAAAAAAAAGGAAAGAAAATTTCGCCAAAGTGGCAAGCTAGTGGCATGGTGCTTAAGGTGTCTGGATCTAACATGGCCAACTTCACAGTTTGAGTCCCAGACCCAGTGGCTTGAAAAATATACTGGGTGGGACCAGCAGTTAGTGTAATGGCTATGTCGCTGGACTCCCATGTAGTCGACTGTGGTTCACGTCACAGACCGGGTGGAGTACAACCCCTCCCG